AGAAAGATGCTGTGAAGTGAAACAGAATTTATGTAATTTAACAAGTGTATGCACAGATGGTGCACCTTCGATGAGAGGAAAACGTGAAGGATTTGTTGCATTACTATAAACTGAATTGCCAGATCCAGATACTTGGATTTCCTTTCATTGTCTTTTGCATCAACAGAATCTCTGTGCCAAATCTACTGTTTTAAGTGACACATTAAATAAGGTAATAGATACTGTAAACTACATTCGAGCAAGTGCATCACGGCATCGCCAATTTTGCAACATGCTTCAACTTGATGATGAAACAATCAGCATGGATCTGCCATATCATTCTAAACTGAGCTGGTTATCACTAGGACAAACACTTGTAAAACTTTTATCTTTGCGAAAACAAATCACAAGTTTTTTTGAGGAACTGAATAAACTGTGTGAATTGTCAAAAGAGGATTTCTGCAGAAATGCTGCATTTTTGTGTGATATAATGTCAATGATCTGAATTTTTTTTTGCAAGGTAAACTGAAATCTATATATGATATGTGGCTAAAAATCCAGGCATTTCAGAAAAAGCTGACCTTTTTCAAAACTCTCCTTACCCGATCAGAACTTTCAGCTGAACGCTTTCCTGAACTGGCAAAGGTAATTAATGAACAGGAGACAAGCAAATCATTAAGGAAATGCGAAGTGAAAGAATACACAACTGTTCTAGACTCCCTGATTGAAGAATACAATGAAAGGATGGCAGATTTTGAAAAACATGATTTCACACTGAAACTAATGTTTCAACCACACCTGGCTGATGTCTCCAAAGCATCTAATGACTTACTGATGGAATTGATTGAGCTCTCAGAAGAGAATATTCTGAAGTCTCTATTTGGTGTTAAGAAGGATCTCAATGAAATATGGAAAAATGCCATTGAATACCCAAGTCTACGTCAACACGCTTGTTGAATGCTGTCTTGTTTTGACACAACCTACTGTTGTGAATCAACATTTTCAATATGTGACACAAATTAAAATGCGCTTGAAATCTCAGATGACGGATGTTCACCTGGATGATCAATTGAACTTACGGTCAATGATGTAAATAGAATAAAATGTAAATAGAATAGAATCCCTACAGTGTGGAAACAGGCCCTTCGTCCCAACAACCCCACACTGAAACCTATCCCCCTGTAACTCAACTAAATATCTGATTCCTATCACGCAGTAAGCAATCACAAAAAAGTCATTAAATGGTTTGTTGTCTAAGTTTTTCAGTTATTATTAGTTCTGTTGTCAACTTTGCCAAATAAATGTGTCTTTGCTGAATTTTTATTTTGTTTAAAGTGCTCATATAATAGGCTTCAATTAAAATTCGTAAATATGATGTCAAAGATATGACATTTTGCTGTATATGTTAAATTCTCAGCATGTGGCCTAATAGGATCTTGGTTAAATAAAATGTGGCCTTTCAATATAAAAAGGTCCCCATCCCTGGCCACGTGGTGTTATTGCTGGAACTGTGAGATCCAGGAAATGTTCTGGGGACCTGGGTTCGAAGCCTGCCATGGCAGATGGTGGAATTGGAATTCAATAAAAAGTCTGGAATTAGGAGTCTAGTGATAAACTGCCATCCTTACCTGCTGACCATGTGACTCCAGACCCACAGCAATGTGGTTGACTCTTAACTTCCCTCTGGGCAATTAGGGACGGGCAACAAACGCTGCCTAGCCAGCGATGCCTTCATCCCGTCAACAAATAAATAAAATCCTTACCCTATTTGCAAGACATCCGTAGTGTTGTAGACCCCCAAATCCATTCTACAATCTGAATTAAAACCCAACTCCCCTGCATTTGAAGTCAAACGTCTGCCCTCCACAAAATCTAACACTTGGAACCCAACTCAATGTTTACAAAGACAGACTTGCATTCATTCAGCAACTTTCACAAGCATGTATTTTACAATGTTTCTGAAGGGTAGCCAACATAGTTACACAGAAAACATGGCAGCAAAGTAGTGCACAACAAGGTCCAAGCGCACAGCAACATGATAATCCGTCTGAGTGGTAGGGGTTGAGGGATAAACATTGGCCCAAGACACTGGGGAGAGTGGACCTGTTCTTTCTCAAAATAGGGCCATGGGATCATGTCGATCCACCTGAGGAGGTAGACAGGGGTTTCAGTGTAACTCCTCATTTTAAAGATAGTGCCTCTGACTCATTGGTTGCTGTCTCAATAGTCCACTCACAGCATCAACATTAATCCCTCAGAGATAATAAGAACTGCCGATGGTGGAGTCTGAGATAATACAGTATGGAGCTGGAGGAACATAGCAGGCCAGGCAGCATCAGGGGAGCAGGAAAGCTGATGTTTTGGGTCAGGAGCCTTCTTCTTCCCATCCCAAAACATCAGCACGTGTGGAAGTCTCTGGAGTGGAACTTGAAGCAACAATGTTTCTAACTGAGTGGCAATAGGGATGTTAACTGAACCACCAGTGACATCTTCAAGGTGGGGGCAGTGGGAGATGTTGATTGTTGTCTAAAGACAGAAATTTTCAAGGTAAGACGTAAACATTTTCACATAGTTTACTCAGGACAAAATCTGCCGTACTCCTAATTCAACTTTGTTCAGTTAGTGGTATACTAACCTCTGAATTATAAAATCCCAAATTCTCAAAGCCCTGCTCCAGGCAAACAACTCTATTGGCATTTTAATGTGGTACTGAGGGAATGCTTCTTTGTCAGAGGCGCTGCCTTTGATACTGAATTTAAGTCCCATTTATGCTCCTGTGGTACTATAAAAAGGACTGTGGCATTTTCCCTGGTGTCTTAGCCAATATTTACTCATAAGCAGTACAAACATAATAGATTATCCAGTCATTTAACTAACTCATTCTATTTTTGGGACCATATGCATAAGTTGGCTGCATGTTTACCTGTAAATGCAACAACAGCTACATTTCAATTCAGCTGTGCAACATTTTAATGTGAAAGCTGCTACTTGCATGCAAGTTCTTTTTATATTACCACGACAAGACATAGAAAAGAAAGGCTGAATAGGGAGAAAGATGAAAGACTTACATTAATCTAGCGCTTCATTAGACCTTGCAGAGGTATCTCATTGTGTTTAATATATGACCAATTACTTTGCAATGTAGTGACAGCAGCTCAGTTAACAAACATGGCTGTCTTCATTTATATTCAGAACTCCACGAACAACCGTGTGTTGTATGAAAGAAAAAAATGATGAATTTGAAGATGTATAGCTAAAAGTAAAAGTTTAATGAATGAGCTGCAGCTAATGTTATAAAATGAATTGTTCACAGTGGTGTAGCACAATCATCAAAAAACACAGATGGCTGATAATCTTTTTTTTAACTATTGATGGAGTTATATTGGTCTTGAAACTGAGAGAACTCTCATTTTTAAACTACCAAATCCAATATTGGGAAGAAAGAAGAGAATGGCACTTTTTATTACCTCAGTGGAACTTTAATGTGCTTTACGACCAATGAACTGCTTTCTGAATTTGTGAACCACAGGCTCCAATAGAACTGAAGTCCATAAGCCACAAAGGGAGAACAATTTGGCTCGACAGAGGTCTTTTTGTTACATTTGGAGTTTATTGCTTGCATCTATTTAAAATGAGGAAAACCTTTGTGATTTAATTTCTGAGATTTGATAAAGGTGTTCCAAATCATGAGGGATGTGCAGAGATTAGATGCTGAAAAAAAATCTGTTCCCATTGGTGGAAGGGTCAAGAACAAGACAGTGTCATATAAGGAAAAATATTTTTAAACAGTAAATAAAAACTGAAAGAACTGCGGATGCTGAGGAAGGGTCACCGGACCTGAAGTGTTAACTCTGGTTTTTCCTTCACAGATGCTGCCAGACCTCCTGAGCTTTTCCAGCAACTTTGTTTTTGTTGTTGTAGTATTTTTAAACAGTGTTTTGGATTGGAATGCACTGCCTCAGTGTGTTGTGAAGGTCAGTTTCAGATCAATTACCTGTTTTCACAACAGTTCTGTTATTGAAAAATCACATTGGTCTTGAAAAGTTAATGCTGTTTATCATCACAGATACTTTTATTTTATTCTTTGATGAGATGTGGGCATTGTTGGCAAGACCAGACAACCCAAATGATCCTTGAACTGAGTGGTTTATTTTGCCTGTTCCGAAGTACTTGAGAGTCGACCCACCCTGCTGTGGGACAGAAGTCACATGTAACCTGACTTCCCAGAAGGTACTGCATGTACTGTAATGTGGATGATACATATTGGTTTAAAATAGATCTCCAATATGTTCATTCCCAATTACAGCTTGATTTTTCCCTCTGAATTGGTAAGATGGCAGATTTCCATTGCAAAATGACATTAGTGAACACAATGGGATTTTACAGAAATGATAGTTGTTTTGGTCACCATTATTGAAGCTAGTTTTCAATTCCAGATTTAATTTAAAACCATATTGGATTTGAAACATTAACTCTGTTTCTCTCTCCACAGTTGCTGCTTTCAGATTTCCAGCATCTGCAGTATTTTGCTTTTATCTGTGTATTTGCAGCAGATTTCACTCCGGATTTTATTTCAGATTTCCAGCATGTGAGACCATTTTGCTTTCATCTGTGATTTGCAGCGGATTTTACTCCAGATTTTATTTCAGCAACCCAGCATGTGAGACCATTTTGCTTTTATCTGTGATTTACGGCAGATTTTACTCTATTTATTTCAGATTTCCAGCACGAGCAACATTTTGCTTTTATCTGTGATTTGCAGCAGATTTTACTGTATTTTATTTCAGATTTCCAGCACGTGCAGCATTTTGCTTTTAT